CTAAAGTTGTTATCTAGATGGCGACAAAAATACTATTTAGTTTGCGATTTCGTCGTTGCCATCGAGATTGCTTAGACCGCTAATCTTTCCGAGCTTTCTGGGATGGTCGGTGTTTGTGCATAATGGGTGTTGGTGCTTCTCTTTCAATGCCATAGACGTAACAATGGACGTAAGAATTGCAACCGCTAGAATATCTCAACATCCAAAGCATGATAGTTGTCCATGCATAGTCCTGATAACTTCAACAAAGGTATTAAGTCTTATTCTGAGCTATTCGGCCGCTAGACCATGTTAGTTTCCGAAAAATGATGGACGTTTGTGGGGTTGACGAGCTCCCGTAAATAATTGCTTTATCACCAGCAGTATAGTCACCTTCGTTGATAACATCTCTCAGATCCATCAAAAGCATGAGTGCTGTTCAACACAAGGGCCCGGCTGTGCTCATTTTTGTTACCGCCTATGTACTTTGACGCGCGGTAGCGAGCGAAGCCAAACTCATTAAACCGCTCAACTTTAGGATTTGCGAAAGTGTGAATGTAAAGCAAAGATAAGCATCAGATCTCACTTTTTATAAGGAGCATATTTCATTTTCATTCTAAGGCTAACAGCAAAACCTCTAATCACCGCTAAATTGTCAGGATGGATCAAAAATGCTAGGTGTTTACGAGTTGTGATAAATATACCGACTCAGCTTCGCATTCACGCGCATGTATGATGGACTTCAATGAAAGTGACGATCCTCCAACCTCAGGTCACTCCACTGACATATCCAATAGTGAGCTGCTTTGTGGAGTAGATCACCAGATGTTCCTTAAGTCCTCCAGTTTCGCTGAAGCCTACCGTGTTATGCGCGCGATAGCGAGCGGAGCAAAACTGGTAAAATATGGTAGCTCGGAAAAATGTTAACATTATATCTACGAAACTCACCCTACGATCACGCAGACCAGTCCACCGTAGTTCAGGAGTTCACTAGCAGGTGGATTAGCTTTCATGCCGAAGAGGCCAAACCTAACAATAAGAATTTTATGAGTGAATAACGAAGTATAAAGTGAGTTCACCTTCCGCCAGCCCAGCCCGTCAAGCAATTTGATGTGTTCCATATGAGGATTCCAACGCTCATCCCAAGCCTGGAGATTATCGGAATCGCTGTGGCGTTACCTAGAAAAATAAATGATAAGATATTATAAAAATGATCTAGGTCGCTTCATTATTTTTAAATGCCCCATGTCTGTGATTTCCATGTGTGGGCTTCGATGAGGTTGGAATGCATAAATGTGACTGGCGGTATAAGGGCCGGTGACGATTTCCACGCACATGGTTCCAAGATCAATTCTGTGATCGGATCGCGCTCAGATTTGTCAAGCCTTACTCTCCTTTGGTGTCGCTTAATATAGTAGGTAAAAAATATTCATTTAACGGATAAAAACTGGGTGCAACGCCATCCCTTTTTAGATTCCTAGGAGCCTAACGCATCGCACATCTCAGAATTAAAGGAATGAGTCAGAATGAGGGAATGAGTGAGAATTCAGCTTATTGAATGGCATGCCTTCAGCTTATTTAAAAGAGTCCGAGTTCCCCAAAATTTTATTCAGAGAGCATTTATCGTTTCTATTCACCTTACATGAGCTAATTGCCAACCAATTAATAGCAAATAGCATAGGAATGGCAGAAGGGCGGAAGTGGTGTAGTGGCAAGTGGCACGCTTACCACGCGAGCGGTCCGGGATCAAATCCTGGGTCGTGAGTCGCCCGGGCCAACCAAGCCTTCCATCCCTCCGGGGTCGGTTAATTGGTACCAGACTTGTCTGGGAGGATAAAAACACTGACTTGTACATCGGCTGGCCCCCGCAAGTCATTGTATAGGCCACATCGCATTCAAACGCCACTACGAATGTACAAATGGAAGTAGAATGCGTGCCGCATCCCAAAAGGGATTGATCAACGGCAAATGCTTTATCCTTTTTTTATTTATAGGAACGCGTTGATCTGGGTGAGAACTGGTCTAATTGTCACGGATGATCCTGTAAGTTGAATATGCAGAGAAACGCCTAGCAATTCTGGAAAGAAGCGGGGCGCGCGGCGCACTAGAAGACATCAAACAATGCCTTCTTCTGCTAATCGTTTCTTTAAGAGAGAAGGTATTTATTTCCAAACGTAATTTTTTCAAATTCCGCCAAAAATCCAAATCCATTACCGACAGCCCAAAATGCTCCGCCCAGCATCGCTAATGGATAGAAGCCGGGGAAGCTTCGAATGCAGAAGACGATGAAGCCGACTATAAGAATGGCGATCGACATCACCCACTGAGCGAACATTCCTGAACAAAATTCGATCATGACTAGCTAAACTTTTATTAACAACTCTTTTAAACCTCATTATGTTGAAAATATGAAACAAAAATGAGCAGTTGAGAAATACCATCTCCAGCATCGTACTTTCTGATAGGAACGAACATTGAACCAAAGAAGACGGACGACACGCCGCAAGCGGCTAGGCCGACGCCCAGGCTCATCTGTAATAAGCATTTGAGAATCCAGCTACAAGACCCTGATTTTTTTAAAAATATTCTGCGAAATCACCGGGATAACAAAAGAAGAATATACGATGAAGTTACTACGGCGGAAAATACAACGATCATACATACGAAATTATTTTACTTGAAGGATATAGTCATTAGCATTGTGTGCAATACGCGTTGGAAATTAATTCACGAGCGCAAGCCTGGAGACAAAAAGCACAAAAAAACGTGTGTTCATGATAGAGAAAGAGGAGTAGGTATAACACCACATCACAGGAGTAAGTACTAACACGTACACCCAACGAGTGACCATTTCGTGGCGAAAGTCGTGGTATAAAACGCGATAACGAAACGCGTTAACGCGCGCGCCACAAGTGCCTCAAGAGCCCAGCCGGTTCTCAAATACGCCCACCGCCGCCACATGAAAGAGATGATAACGATTATGTATTTGAACTGGATTTCGATCGTTGTGAAATTTGGAACTGTTACTGCTATCGTTCAACTTTCTTTTCTTTCTACGTGCAATACACCAGCCATCGAAGCACCAACCGCTCAAGACACGGGGTAAAACTTATGTATAAGAGCGCTTCGCAGCGATGATTAAGCTGCGGAGTGAACTAAAAACTGGAAGAAAAACATCGGAAACGTCACAATTAGGGTCTAAACCTTTAATAACGTCGGATGTGCTACGGTGGCGAGATAGAGAGACCAAATAAGTTAAAACACGAGAGAGAGCTTGTCGCTCTAGGGAGCACGCTGATCTCTACATGCAACGGGAGTCGATGGTTGCAGGCCAGTAAAGATTAGTGCCCTATTTGCGCTACTTCTGTGGTGAAGCTGGCATGATTCATGTAGGTATGTACGGGCCCCACAATATCTCTCGCCGTAATGTTCCTACTAATGGGCTCAATCCTGGGGATTGCCTTCAACATTCGTCGAGCTATGATGCAGTACTTATTTCACCGGAACGGCTTTTATATTACAGTAATTTCGTTCGCTCCCGGAACCGACGGGCGAAAAGAGGGTTCCGTTTCCCGACGTCTTACCGTTTCTTTAGACTCCTTCCACTGACGCACTATTTGGTCCGTTTAATCTTACAAATCAACGCTACCAGCTTATTGCAGAGCTGCTTTCAGTAACACATTTAAACTTTATTGGGAAACTTTTTTCTATTACGTTGTCCCATAACTAGCGACCCACTTTGGATTCACTGCTGTGAAAATTCCCAGAGGAATACTGAGGGTGTGAAACCGGTTTTCCAAGGTAGCACCATTAATTTATCTAAACAATTGGCCAGTTCATTTACCTCTACCTTCCGTGGCTATTACGTTTATGTTTTTGGAACCTATTTCTCGGCTTTACTCTTCATGCTTACCGATTAGGATTTTTCAAACGCCAAGCATATGGAGGATCAACTAGAAGTTAGGCGAGGAACCCTGTCTCAACACACGATGTACCGGTGGTCACTCTACGCCGGGGTGGCTTTTTATTTTAAGACGATCCCAACTCAAACCATCGGCAAATCGCAATCTCACTGCTCTACCCGACGTATGGAAATGGGTCTGGAAGACTAGGCGTAATTGCCAGAGCGCTTTTGATGCCACAAGGTGACGGTACTGAGACAGTTTCCATGTGCGACTCTCAATGAATCTTGGCATGAGTCGTAGAGAATATGTCAGTATAGTGAATAAGCTCCAACCAAGATTGATAACAACTTTTATTTGGCTTACGTTTCGGCGCTTTCGCCTTCTTCAGAGCCTGGAAAGAGGAAAGCCATTTACGAAATTACCCGTCCAAATGCTATGGTACTGAGACAGTTCTATGGTCTCGCAAAGATTTGGAAAGAAAGGGTTTGTATCTCACAGGCGTGAAGCCAAGCCAGCTCCAAACACGATCTGACATCGTCATTTTCCTGGTGATTTCTCATAGTTCCTTCGACTGACCATCCACTACATATTCACGGGTAATTTGGACTGTTGTGGTGCGCTGATAAACGCACAAGCAGCAGTAGCCTAGCTTGAAGGATTGAGAGTTGTGACGATAAACGCCCAACCTCCTGTAAGTTCGATCGTTCCTAGATGCTGGTGGAACACGAGAGTTCGGGAACAACACCCAATAATACCAGGGTCAAAGATGAAGGCAAATGTTGACAAACTCATGGCGACACGTTCACTTGAAAGCGAAGCGAGACAACGCCTGCCTTCTTTCTGAGACTGTTTCACCCTACCCTGAAAGAAAATTAACAAAAAATTGGAGATTCGTGGCCTGACATATCTTCCAGCTCCGATGTGTAGCCCTGATTTCGTGAATGCAAAGAACACCTACTCTGATCTCCAGCGCTCTTCCTCGGGAAGGAATTTCACGCTAAGTAACATAATCTCAAAATCGACATCTGACCTTCTTCGATTGAAAATTGTCCATGGAATTTCAGAGGAGAAGCGGGATTAGCTCCCCATGTAGGCAATATCTGCAGATAACACGGGTGCAGGTTTGGATGAGCAAGCACTTCAAATATACAACAAAAAGATTAAAGTCGAAAAATAGCGAAAGTGGTTCACTAATTATGATGCAACTTAACATTTGTTTAAACACGAAGCTTACCCCAAACTTTATTTCGCCAACGATGCTAAGGGCCTTGAAGACAGGCCCCAGGATCAAACTCGTGTGGTTCTTGTACACGGATGTGAAAGTATTAGTGCAAAATGGGCTGACAGTAAAAAAAAGAGAATTCGTCATAAAGGTTCAAATCAAGGGTTTGCCCACCTTCGACACGCAGCTGTGGTAAGACAGTAAGAAATTGAATGCGGAAAGGAGAGTATGTTGCGAGAGGGCGCAACAGAGAGAGGTCGCCGGACAACAAGCTCCCGTGGGAGGGGAAATTGAAGCTAGTGAAGCTGCTTTGCAATGCGCTAGCGCTTTTGTAGAGCGATTTTCACGCACGGGAGAGCTCTATCACGAGCGGGAGTCAGAAATCTGATGAAAGATGTGCGAATTCCTCCAGTGTATCTCAAGACCGAAGAGACTCGTGACGACTTCTGCCTGAGTTCTGCTTCTAATGTTTAGATACATAAAACATTGCTATTCGAGGGTCTGAATAAACAGCTCTATTCAATATCTTTACGTGGCGAATTCTAACGAAGCCAGAATATTCGTTGGCCGATGATGCAGTGGAACATGACACCCACCGACCAGAACTGTAAACTGTTTTCAGAGGAGAGCAAACAAACAGCAGCCGATGCGTTTTTTCATTTGCGTGGTCTTGGAACAAAGCGATAAGGTCTTTACGCAGCCTAGGAGGCACCGATCACAAAACAGACGGTTTGCAATTTATTTAAAATTAGATAAGAGTTTTGAGGGAAGATTGATCGACTGAAGATGTGCGAATTTGGGAGAAAAATCAAGATTTACATCGTACAACTGCGGGCTGGAAATCTCAGTGTTATCCCGCACAGTTATAGGCCGACGCGAAGGCTTTGCCTATCAGCGTGAGCCGAAGTCCATGGGTCGACCGAGAAGTGGATAAAAAGCAAAAAATTGCTACAATGAACACAATCAGGACATGTTTTCAATTTCCATCAGCACATTTTGGTCGCATTTCTACACGCGAAAGTCATCATAATGATAATGGGCTATCAGGAAAACAGTGACAATAATCGGTACACAATATTTCGTGACTTGTATTTAAATTGAAATGGTTCAGAACAAGTCTATTTCTTGATATGATCAGCATTCGGTTACTTTCACTACGCAAAAAAAGAACTCAAAAAACGCAAAAAAAACGCAAAAATGGCCCTTAGTAGAGATTCATATAAATGAGGCAAGGCAGTGATCACGATGGCTGAAGGGTTTTGTGAGTTGATATGCGTGTAATAATAGTGGATGTCGGCTGGAGATCTCTCAGTGAAGAGGTCCATCAGAGATCTGGGAGAATAATTATACTAAATTTGTATTCAATAAAGAAACAAAGAATATAAAAATAGCTTTCTTTAACCAATCAACAATTGAAATAAATTTTTCCCCCCCCATTCCCAGCGAGTCCATTCTTGTAAGATGTAAGCGCGCTAAGGAACAGAACTAACCTACGCCACAATAACAAATGCTTTATCACCAAAATTCAACTTTCATTGCTAACTCAGATTTCTTGTCGGCCATTCAATAAACAATATAGAAGCGAAAACTGACTCGGGTCCGCGGCCTGGAGTCGCGTACGAGCTTACGAAAGTTTCCCGAACTGGATAAGTTAAATACGAGATTTCACTTCTACTGAAATAAATGCCTCGACTATCTCCATAAAATTGAAGATTGATTGAAAGAGACGGAAGATGTGTCAAACACCCGAAGAATTCCGAACTGTGATAAAATCTGTGTAAAGTGAACTCCTAACGAACGCCAAGAATTTTTCATCTACGATCTATGGAAACACAAATGAACAAATCTTCGACTGGCATCGGACGCGGAAAATAAATCATCAGGAAGATTCGAGACTGAAGTATCCTTCCGCAAGATGAGCCATGCATTCGAATTCTATTCAAAATCCCAAACAAAAAACAAGCTTTCTGTGAAATGCGGCACCAATCAGCAATGTGGAGGATTTACTCGTTTTCCTGAGAAAGATCTAATCCTCTGATATAGCCACAGTCTAGTTGAATGCTAAAATAGGCAATAGTAACAGACAAGCAATGCAAACATTTCACTAGCTTCATGAAGAAGCGGAAGGAGCATAGACTGAAAGTTAGCTGTAATGTTTGTAAGAAATAGTTCTAGCGCGTGATTTCAAACGTCATTGAAACAACAAAGAACAAAGAGTTTGACACCAACCAAATCCTTATCGGGTTCGCCATGTATTCGCTTCCATCAAAAATCATAGTGGTGGGTTTCAATGACGAAGTGGCCTCTTATGCAAATCTCGTTTCAGTTCCTCTTATGGTTGAAACAGATTGTTCTGTTGCAGTAGGTTGTTCTAGGTTTTGTCTGAATCGGGATTTGATCTTAGG